AGTACAGTAGAAATCCTCTCAGATTGAGACAAGGCATATCGTGTTCAGGCAGTTAATAGTTCCTTGCAATCTTCCATATTATAAAATAATCAAAATGGTCTATGAAAACGGCAAAGTTGGTTTATATATAAATGATATAGGCAGAGATTAAGCCCAAAACCAAATATAAACCTCTGCATCATCAGATGTTGTCATCAAAACAGACTGTGATAAAAAATATATAAAGAAGAACTGAATAATAAAAAAGTCCATGAACTACTTATCTGTCCTGCTGTAGTGAGCTAAATCCTGTGAAAACTATACCAGCGGCTGCTTTAGGAGAGCAGGAATATATAAATTAGATGATAGTCAGATTTTAATGCAGTCAGGTTATATTTGTAACTCAGTAGCATCATAAGGGGGGTGCAGCCCGAACCCGGGTGACACCTTTGAAGGTGTGACACCAAAATGACTGACAGTATTTTTCGTGTCACCCCCTCTTTTCAATCTCCTCAATCTAACCCCTCGTTCACACCTGAACGTTTTGTAGCGCGTTCTACGCTCGACGAACGCTCTACAAAACGCTCAAAAATATAAATCCCATTGTATTCAATGGTCTCATTCCCACCTTGGCGTATTTCCGCCCGTCCCTTTTCAGGCGCTACAAAACGGCCCACGCCTGAAAAGGTACAGGTACTACCTTGGGCCGTTTTGTTGCGCGTTTCCATTGGGATACAGCCAAGTAGCCTTCGGAAACGCGCGACGGCCACGCGACTTTTTTACAGCGAATTGCGGTAAAAAAACGCGCGACAGACGCGCATATGCAATACGCCTAGGTGTGAACGAGATCTTACTGCTGTGTCGTTTGCTGTTTAGGTCTGTTCATGTGGCCATGCACCTGCCCTTTTAGCAATCTGCATGAGCATAGTCTTTTATTAACAGAGCTTAGTAGTAGTAGTGGACCTATCAGGATCTTTGTGTGGCTGGAGCTCATGCTCCCCCAAACAAGTATTTTTAGTAGAGTGAGGAAGGGTTAGAACCTCTAACTGCTTTTTATTGTCTGAGCATTCCTGTGCCAGAGACAGCCGCTTCCCCCCTTTTCTTGTTTGGGCATCACAGGGACAAGAAGTAAAATATAAATCTGCCCAATGGGGTCACAGGCAGCAGTAAAAACTTAAAAGAGAACTATGGGGTAAGTCTTTTTCCCCATAGTTCTCTTTAGGGTCACGGGAGGACATATACTAAACTCCTCCCTTGACGCAAAGCTCAGTATATCGTGGGCTATTGCCCGTGATATACTGAGAGCGCCGCAACTGGGACGGATCCCGACAATACTGTCCAAATCCACCCAGCCCTGTGAGTGACAGCTGGCTCTGCCTATCTAGAGACAGGGCCAGCTGTGCCCGCCCCCTCCCCGTTCGTTCCTCCACTCAGTGCCGGAGGATCGGAGTGGGGAGGGGGGAATCCCTGCGGGAGCGGTGACTCACAGCAGAGCCGTAGCTGGCAGAAAATTGTGCTCCCCAAACGGCCTGTGCGGTATGTGACGTCATGCGCCATCTTCCCGATCGTCTCCCTGCAATAAGCGGTGACTGTGAGTAATTCGTCCATGTTTCTGCTCACTTCCCGATCGATAGAGCCGACCTGTGACAGCTTCTTTGTCACAGGTCGGCTCTAACTATGAGGATGAGTGGAAATCACTAGCCTCATAGTTCTCCTTTAACCAAAGGTTACTAAAGCCAAGATGCTCAGACCAAACTTAGCGCCTGTGTCAACTGGCTTTTGTTCACTTTTAGTGGGTTTTGTTTTCCCATACAAGTCTATGAAAATGCACATTCAGAACGATGCCTAGTCTACACATACGGTTTGTACACACACGCCAGTGGCAGTTCCATAATGCTCGTACTCCCTGTGGACTCCAAGCAAGTGGTGGTGCAATGAGCATCATTATGTCAGCTTGGTGTCCACAGGGAGCATACATCTCAAGGCAGCCTTTCTCAACCTTTTTACCCTGAGGAACCCATTAAATAAATGTAAGGTCTCAGGTAAAATTGCTAATATTAATTAATCAGAGGTCAGTGGGAAGAATGCCTGCCCTACAGTGGTAGTCAGGAGGCCACCCTTGAATATAACTAAAAAGATAATTGGTATCATGCTTCTGTGTCTACCAAGTGGCGTTTGCCTAGGAGCTAGACAGGCACCATTAGATGGGAGGTCAATCAGCCACTAGTCAAGGAACCCCTAGCAACCTCTTGAGGAACCCTAGCATTCCATGGAACCCTGGTTGAGAAAGGCTGTCCTAGGGTGACAATCCTGCCCCTGCATAGGAACTTATCAGCGAGCATAGTCACCGTAGAACGACCATGGAGGAACTGGAAGGATTACCAGATAAACAAACCTGAAACTTGAACAAATGACGGAAAGAATAACAAAGCTGGATCAAGTAGATGGTAAGCTTCTATTCACTTTTAGGTTTAGTTACAATCCACAGACTGAGGTAGTCAAGACATAGCTCCCTACTAGGGATGTTCAGATACCAAGTACTGTACATGGTACAAGTATATGTACAGATACTTTTTCAGCTCCAAGACTAGACTAGAGAAAAATTCAAAAGTTAGGAGACAGATGTCATTTTTTAGGAGCATACGGAGCTCCTGAGATTTGTACATCTCTATTTTAATGTATGATTTGTTTTATAAATATATATAAGAGATGCACCGATATCAGTTTTGCAAGTACAAGTACTGATACTTGTCCAAGTACTCACAGATTCAAGTACTTATTCATTTTTGTTTATTGTCATGTGACAGTTTTTCTGAAACAATACAGACTAATGATTTCAGGACAGTGGTGGAGCGCCAGAGCCAGGTCCCAGCTGCAACCTCTGCAACCCCGGTAGTTCTCATGAAAGTGCCAAGTTTCTTGTTAATCGGGAAGCCGGGTGGCGCGTCTTTACACGCTGCCCAGCTTCCCAGCTAATCAGGAAGCCAGGTGGCGAGTCATTACACGCCACCTGGCTTCCTGAATGGGACTTCTGTTAAGGTGCCCATACACTGCTCGATTCTCGTACGAGAATCGGGCGAAATCCCGTGATCGTACGAGAATCGAGCAGTGTGAACTAAGACGTGCGACCGTTTCAACTGTACGGTCGCACAAAAGTCTTGCGATGGTCGTAAGGTGTATGGGCACCTTTACTCGGTAATTGGTATCAGCGAGTAGCGGGAAAAAAATATTGGTACCAAAATACCGGTATCGGTGCATCTCTAATAATAATAATCCCTACTCCCAACCTTCTAAAATGAGAAAGAGGGACACCTTTAAAAAAGTATGTAGAATAGGACACACACCCTACCATGCACCCAATCACATGAGCCATGAAGAATGAATATGTCAAAATGATTGGTTACACCTAGGGATGTCCCGATACCGATGCTAGCATCGGAATCGGGCCCGATACAGGGCATTTTGACAAGTACTTGTCAAAATGCCCCGATGCATAGCAGCGAAGCTTGCGCTGTTGGGTTTTTTTTTAACGTTACCTGAGCGGAGCGTCACTGCTGTGGGCTGAGCGGAGGAGCGTTGCATCACTGCTGTGGGCGGAGCTCCAGGTGGGGTCCTAATGTAGGTGGCCGGCGACAGCCTAGACGATCCCACTCAGAGCGCCGCCCACCGGAGCAGCAGTGACGCGATGCTCCTCTTCGCCGACGATGTCCTTCAGTGCCGGAGAGCAGCGGCTAATCAGCGCTGGTCCGGTGGGAGGAGTTCCAGGTGGGGTTCTAATTTAGCTGCCCGGCACCTCTGGGCCAGCTAAATTAGGACCCCACCTGGAGCTCCTCCCACCGGACCAGCGCTGACTCGTCACTGCTCTCCCGCCGCAGTACAGTGAGTGAGGGCAAGTGGGGGGGGACGACTAATTGTAAAGCAGGGACTAATTGTAAGTCTTTGGTCTCCAGTGTATAAGCAGTGTGTACCCTATATGTCACACATATAGGGTACACACTGCTTATACACTGGAGACCATAGATTTACATGTATTCTTTGCTAACATGAATGGATTAAATGATCTGTATGTAGCCCTGTACTATGGATAATTTAACCCATTCATGTTAGCAGTGCAGAATTGTATATCTATTCTATCTGTACACATGTCCCGTACACTGCAGTAATAGATTTACAATGATCCCCTGCTTACATGAATAGGTTAAATCATGATCCATAGTACAGGGCTACATACAGATCATTTAATCCATTCATGTTAGCAGTGCAGAATTGTATATCTATTCTATCTGTACACATGTCCCGTACACTGCAGTAATAGATTTACAATGATCCCCTGCTAACATGAATAGGTTAAAGCAGTGGTGGCGAACCTTGGCCCTCGTGAAATCGTGCGATAAGTCGCTACATGTGAACGGGGCCTTAAAGTCATCTGTCCCTTAAAATTTTTTTTTTAAATGTATCGGTAATTGGTATCGGCAAGTACATGAGGGGAAGTACTTGTACTTGGGCCTGAAAAAGTGGCATCGGGACATCCCTAGTTACACCCATAAGTGCTTTTCTTTACAAAGGTCTAAACATCAGATCAAAAAAAGGGACAAGTGAGGAGCAATGTATGATAGACAATTCCTCAAAATGATGGGCAGTTCCTCGAAATGAGGGACAATTATGAGGTATTGTCAATGTTTTCCCACAAATGATTCACTCATAGGACACACACCTACCAAGCCCCAGTTAAAACATGAAACATGACAAACATGAAAAATGAAACAAACATGAAAAATGAACAGCTATAAAAATAACTGCTGCTTCTTTTCACCACTACTTTTATTGTTTTTGTTATCTCATTATTAAAAACCACATATTTGTATACATAAGGAACCAGTTTAGGGCTGTAAAACACTTTTCATGGCCTATTTTGTCTCTCTGCTGCGTATAAAAATTTATTTCGCGGTTTGTCTAAATAAAGTAGTGCGCGCCCACACCAACTCGCTGAGCTCGGCAAACCATCCGCGCAAGAATACCCAGCGTGAAGCGTACTTTGACCTGGACGTGCTCCTGTTTCAGCATTAAATAGTCCCTATGGCAGGAGGAGAGATTCGTGCGCGGCCCGGCAGAGGAGGAGGCGAAGGCGCCATTTTGTTCTGTGCTCGGATCCTGTAACGGAAGCGGGTTGAAGGCTTCGCCCGAGACGCCGAGCCGGCAGCCTCTGTCTCCTTCCTTCTTTTTCTTTTTACGTACTTTGCTTTCTTTCCCTTCCGCCGTCTTAGCTCGCTTTTGTCCGCGTACACGATCAGACTTTGGAGGTCATGGCAGATGTCGATAAACTGAACATCGACAGCATCATCCAGCGGCTGCTAGAAGGTGAGGAAGCTTCCTGGACAGGCCTGGTTCTGCGCGGAGGCCTATACTTGCGTGTGTGTGGTAGGCTGGTAAGGCGAAGGTCTGGTGCTGTGTACAGGTCGCCAGCTTTAATACTCGCTGTGCTTTGTGGCGGAGCTGGGCGGCTCGGAGCTCTCCGTCTGTGCTGTACCAAGGAAGGGCGCACAGAGCTGTCAGTGTGCTCCGAGATGGGTAGCCATGGCGTGCCTGCGGGTCCTGGTTATCGTAGCCAATATATTTAATATCCATTTTATTGGACTGCTGATCTCATCTAACTAGAAATCACAGTAGCAGAGGGCCGACATGTCTCTTTTATACATCCCGTTTGGTTTTTACTATAATAGTGCGTTTTATAGGTGTAATGGTAGCCATGTTTTGGATGTAACTTAGGGTAGCATTTCTCAACCAAGGTTCCTCCACAGCTGGTTAGGGCTTCCGTGATCAGTAATTTTCTGCCTCTCAGCTATGGAACTACTAACGGCAATGATTTTTTTTTTTTTTTTTTAAGTGATCTGCATGGGAGAGCGTTTCTTCACACTGATCTCCAATGTAACGGGGCAATTCTTCACACTGATCATCGTGCTAAAGAATGAGCCATAGATCTGGTAGTTATTAGCAGGGGTTCCCTGAGACCAGAAACTTATTTCCAGGGTTCCCCCCCCAGAGCAGGGGAGGGTAAACTATGGCCCTCCAACTGTTGTAGAACTACAAGTCCCATGAGGCATTGCAAGATTCTCACAGCTGCGGGCATGACTCCCAGAGATGGTTGTATGGTGGGCTTCACCACAGCTGCCTGGTTGGAGGTTGCCCACCTCTGTTGCAGAGGTTGCTATGTGTTCTGTGATCAATAAGGGAATACTGACAATGGTGTTTTTAGTGATCTGTGTGAAGGGTTATTCCTCTCTGACTGGCACGCTATTGCAGGGGTGGACTAATCGGTATGGAATCCAGAAGCGATCGGCTTTTTTTCTTTTTTTTTTTTTTTAAAGATCTGGCTCATTGAGAACTAGAGAATCTCAAAAGTTAGGCACCAGCTTTCATTTGCAATAAGCATTGGCTACATTGCTGCTGAGATTTGTCCAGCCCTGTGCTAATGTACTGTGAGCTATAGATATGGTAATCATCAGCAGGGGTTGCCTGAGACCTGAACATTATTTCAACAGTTCCTTCGTGTTGCATATGGTTGAGAGAGGCTAACTTAGGGTGTTGACATCCTTTTAACGCTTTTTTTTCAGGGGCTGCTATTTGCATTATGTCTTCTACTACTCATATTTGAAGTCTGTTTTTAAAGCTCCCCTTTTAATTTTCTTTTTTGGTCAGTGTAGGGAAGGGTTCGAACTTAGAACCTTGTCCTTTTTTTTTTTTTAAATATTGCTGTTTCTCTGCAGCGGGAGTTCTCGCTGCATTTGTTCTGGTGGCTGTTTGTCAGCAGAAAGAAATCGGAGGTAGGGGAGTCCAAAATTGAGTTTTCAATAAAAAATGAATAGAGGAGAAATCTTTCAACGGGTTTAAAAGCCCCCACAGGTCATCAATTTAGAGATACCCCAAAATACTGGCCCTAGAATTATTGCTCTCCGGCGTGCGCGGCGATACCCAACATGTGTAGCGCGTTCGTCGTTTTCATACGTAGGCGCACCCGACGCGTGTTTATGTGGCGACGCGCCTGCTCGCGGGGGCGGCGGACTTTAAAACATTTTTTTTATTTTAATTTAAAAAACTGTTTTTTTTTTTAACTTTGACTGCTATCACATAGGGTGGCTTACAAGCCCCCCCCATGTGATAGCAGATGGTGGTGACAGGTCCTCTTTAAGGTGATGCTGGGGGTCCAAAAGACCCTCAGTGTCACCTTTACACTGGAAATAAGCTATTGAAGTGCAGATCGCACTTCAATAGCTTATAGCTGGGCTGCAGGAGCCCAGAACTGACAGCCCAGGGACCGGAAGTAGTGCAATCTGCATCGGTCCCATAGAACGGGGAGGGGATAGATGAACGGAGGTTCGTCGACCTCCTCCCCAGCTCGCCGCGGACACCAAGGACGCCGGTCCCAGGCCTGTAGGAGGGGCAACGGAGCCCGGGAAGCACAGCGGGGGTGTCCGGCGGGGGGGCCTTCTTCGGGACACGGAAGCGATCTGGCGACAGGTAAGTCGCTAGAATCGCTTCTGTTGTAAAGCCGACAGTCGGCTTTACAAGTTTAAACGTTGTCAGTCACGAAGGGGTTAAATTACTTGCCTTTAGTAGAACTCAAGTTAATTTTAGAGATTTTATGGTCAGATTGTAACCTTGTGAGCCTTATGTTGGAAAGGTATCCTCGCTTCCTGTTGTCAGACTGAAACTCTTCCCTGTGGGACACAGCTGGACAAAACATCTACAAGTTTTAACGGTCTTCCACGGTTTGGTTTTCCATATACTTTAGAATGGAGATGTATAGTAAAAAAATAAATACTGGAAGTTATGATTTTGAACATATGTAGGGTAGAGCTTCATAAACCTGGGACTTTTGCTAGAAATCAAATGTTTGGCAAGAATAGCGTTGAAACAGTTTCTGGCTAATCTGAGCTACAAAATGCCTTTAGGCCTTGTTCACACCAAATGCAGAGCAGATCCGGTCAGTTTTCTGCACACGCATGCTAGTCTTTTTGATGCGTTTTTGGCTAAAATGTCTTTTTAAGTTTAAAATGGGCTTTCAGTGCGTTCCGGGCATTTGCATGTGTTTTTGATGCGTTTGCGTATCCAGAGCAGGTAAAATAGGGCCTGCTGCAGTTTTTTCACCTGCTCTTGAACTGCACGCTGCGATGTGAACTGGAGCAAAAAATACCATTGGAATACATTGGACGCAGTTTTGATCCCGTCTGCAACTGATCTGCTCTGCACCTGCTCCGCGCTTGGTGTGAACAAGGCCTTAACTATGGTCGGTTAAAGTACTTCATGGTGCGTTCTCTACCACTACAAATATTTTTCTGCTCTCACTGAATTGGTTAAAGGTTTGATTGTATGTTACAAATTGGTCTCCAATACATACAATACATCCAATAAGAGATTTTGCAGCTTAAAGTGACACTAACCCCTCGTTCACACCTGAACGTTTTGTAGCGCGTTCTACGCTCGAAGAACGCTCTACAAAACGCTCAAAAATATAAATTGCATTGGAGTCAATGGACTCGTTCCCACCTTGCCGTATTTCCGCCCGTCCCGAACGCGCTACAAAACGGCCCACGCCTGAAAAGGTCCCGGGACTACTTTGGGCCGTTTTGTAGGGCGTTTTCCATTGGGATACTGCCAAGTAGCCTTTGTAATCGCGCGACGGCCGCGCAACTTTTTTACCGCGAATCGCGGTAAAAAAACCGCGTGACGGTCGCGCGACAGACGCGCATATTACAATACGCCTAGGTGTGAATGGGGGCTAAACACCTGAGTTTAAGCTTAAAAATACTTTACAAAAATCACCTCTGAATTGGTGCTGACACCGTCCTTCTGGAGGGTGGCTACTTTTCTTCCCCATGGTCCCTGTGTGTGTTATAAAGTAGTCATCGCTCCAAGCTCGCTCCTGTGATAGACTAATTTAGTAAACTAAATATAAGATTGTATGTAGTCCATCACGGGAGTGAGCTTGGAAAGGTGTCTACTTTACATTTGAGGATCTACAGCCCAGTAATCCACAATTAAGATACATTTTTGTTAATAGGTTAGGTATTTCAATGCATTTTTTAGGTTTTAAGTCCTGAGTTTAGGGTCACTTTAAAGCTGCTCTGTAGGTATAACTATCATGCATACTTGCAACGAGCCAAACTGCGACCAATGCAACTTGTGTCATACCTGAGCAGCCCACAGGGATCCTGTAAAGCACTGTTGTAGCTCTGGCTTCTACAGTGCTTTACAGGATACCTGTGGGTTGACAAAGTATATCATATGCATACTTTGGGTCAAGCTGGACCAATGTATGAATGCATAAAAAGTTAAACATAGAGCTCAGCTTTAAAGTGATTATAATTTAGGTAGGGGGAATTGTTTATCAGTGAATGATTACATCTTTGTAAAAGGTTTTGCCATTCTTGCAACCTTTTGATGGTTTTTTTAAAGTGTACAGTGGTACCTTGGTTCACAGACGCTTCGGTTCACCAACAGGAAGTTGGGCAAAATTTTGCTTCCGTTCGCGAACTCGGGTGACTAACACAACCGCAGCCATCTTCCCTGCTCTAACACATGGTCGTGGCTTCCTCTAGTGGATTTTGTGGTCTGATCACAGTTTGATTTGGTTTGTGACCAAATCGTTGAACGAAGTTCGTGAATCCAGGTACCACTGTATTTGGTAAGAGTGCCAGGATGTGGACTTGGTTGGGATAAATTTGAAAATGGGGAAGGGTCTTAATGACTTTATGCCAGGAGTGGACATAGTTTAATATGGCATTTCTCATGGCTTGTGATGTTCTAAATATGTGCACTTGTGTTGACTTCCCCCAACTGATGCTACATCAAAGGAAATGTATAGCATTTTTCACAGGGATTAGGTTTAGTGTGGGTTTTTTTTTTTTTAAATATATGTAACCCAAATGTAAACTTTAAGTGCCCAGTAACACTAAATGCACTGGGCAGTGCTGGGCAGCCTTCCCTATCTGTTCAGTGCACATGACTTTGTTGCGATTATGTGCACTGAAGAAAAAGTGGGTCATGCTATGTTTTTAGACTGCGCAGCATGTTGAGACTTTACACCACATTACAACATGCTGAAGTATATAAATGACAAATATTTTGACATTTCAGTAAAGTTACAGAAAAGTAAATGTCAGTGCATTGCATCACTCCTTCACAGCACACACCAGTGGCCGTGGTATAATGGGTGCTGCTGATGTGACTGGGCGCAAAAGACCCCAACAATTCTATTTGCTTCCTTTTTGGTCTGTTTAACCACTTGGTCTGTTTCACCCCCTTCCTGGCCAGGCCATTTTTCAGTATTCAGCGCTGCGGTACTTTGACTGACGTATATT